CTGCTGACTTTCAGAAACTGTCATGATCAAGAAACTGACACTTGAACAATTTTAGTAAAGTTTAAGTATTGAGAGAAACTCTTCCATAGTTTCTATAATGCTCTGAACATGTCCTGTTGGGTATGTTAAGAATGCAAGGCCCTCAGATACTGCTCAAGTTGGCAGAAGATCTTGGTGTCAATTTGCATGATTCTTGCTTGAATGCATACAAAATCCCTGGATGTCAGACACAAAACTATAGGAGTTGGTGTTTGCCCTGCTGGATTTCAATTTTGATTTGATCTTGCTATTCTCCTATTTCTCCCATTGGGAATGGGAATATTTAATCCTTGCCATTTATATTGGAAGTATGTAATATTTTTTTGATTTTACAGGCACTCATAGTTAAGAGTTTGCCTTGAATCTCAAAAAATACTTTGAACTTAGTCTTTTGAACAATGTTGGACTGCTTGGATATAGACTGAATAAATTTTACATTATGAGATGGACACAAGCCTTTTGGGATCATGGGTAGAATGTTGTGGCTTAAGGAGATGAGTTTGGGTGTCTACTTGACAAGGAGTAGACTTGAGATGGTTAATCTTGATTATCAACTTGACTAGACTGAGAACAGCCTCAATTAATGAAGCATACCTCTGGGTGAATCTGTGAGGTTATTTCTAGAGAGGATTAACTAAGGAGAGAAGACCCAGCAGCACCATTCCACAGGCTGCGGACACAGAAAGAGTAAGAGGAAAAGGGAAAAAGCACTTTAGGGCAGGCATTCTCTATCTCTGCTTCCTGGTCACCATGAGGTAAGATGCTGTGCTCCCCACTGAAGAGAAAGACAATAACCCAAGTGCCCAAATACTTAATGAATATACAGTTTGTGACCTGAAAAATAGAAATGAGGCTCAATGGATAGAATTATAACTGGCATGAACTTTCAAGGATAAGGTTTGGGGAAAGTAAAAATTTTCAGAAGGGAGCTAAAACACTGATTCTATCATGATCCTCTGACACAAGGATTACTCAGGAGTGAGTAGCCTACACTAAAGGGCTAAAAGGAAAAGAAGTCATTGAAGAGTTACATTTCAACAAATGGTAAGAGGTAGGGAGGACTGAGGAACACTTTTGTTAAGATACTGCACACAGGAATGTTTGTTTATAATGAAACTTGACTTTTAGAAAGATCAGTAAAAAGGGTTTGATAAGAGATCAGTAGTTGAACTATGGGAGAAAGTAGTACATAGCAATAAAGGAATAAATATGTGTGTGGACAAGTAATTAAAAGGATGAAGAATTTTATAAGGCATGGATAGAATTACCAAGCCTCAAGGTTCCAAAGAAACTCTAGCAAACATATCCTCTACAGTGTTCTTGAAGTGTTGACTGGCTCCAGGAGTTTTCTTTATGTGCTACAGAGCCATTATGATAAACAAGTAACATCTCTGTCATGGAAAGCTTGAAATCGAATTATCAAACACTAGAAAAATTAAACTCATATAGCCCTCACAACAATTTTATGCTATAGGTACTATTATAATTCCATTTTTCAGATGAAGAAACAAGCACAGTGGTAAATTTTTCAGAGTCACATACTTAGAAAGTAGTATAGTTACAGTAATCTGGCTATAGATTCTACTCTGAAATGTAAGCCTCCTTCTTTATGAGAAGATACGGAAACTGGGAAACATTACATAGAAGAAAATTTCAAACTGAGCACCTGTCATTGTTGAGGTAAAATTGAGGGTGTTAAAGTTTCTAGGATAACACATACTGACGTTGGGTTAAATGTCTATTGCCATCTACTGCTGTTATTCTCACAGAAACACAAATATAACTAACCCATGAAATAGATATACAAGAACAGATGATTTCTTGAAGTAGTGAGAAGGTACCTGATCAAAACCAAATGAAAAATATAAGAACACTATTGGGGCCAGCTCTGCCAACTACTACATTCATGCTCCTACACACAGTCCCTATAGACGCTCCACAGATCACACCAACCAGAATGTGATCCCAGGGAAAACAGGGACTTCCCTAATGGATGCCCCATCTCACTTCTTTTCCTCTTTAATGTTTTAGTCTTTGTTTTGTCTAGTTGGTAGGATTAAAAAAAAATGAGTGCCCAATATTGTAGAAAGAATCATTAGTGTGTTTTCCCCCAAAGGATCTCTGAAAACACTAAAGAGGAGACTGTCTCATATCTCCATTCTTTGTTTGACTTTGTGAATATTTTTCTTGTCATTCCCAAAGCAGGATCACAGCATACAGTGTTTTCATGATAGAAAGAAAAAAATAGGATAAGCCTTATTTTCACTAAATAAGACTGGAAAATGCCTGATAAGCTCATTGAATTGCTTTTAAGAGTTAGTAAATATCAATATTTACCATATATCACACACATATACCATGTATGTATGTGTGTGTACATGTGTGTGTATATATATATGTATGCATACACATCTACACACACACATACATATGAGCTAAATATAAATATTTCCAAATGTATCAGTTTTGGGAACCTAAACAAATAGAAATAATGAAACATACATTTGTTCTTCTACCATTTTCATACATATGTTATTCTTGTACATTAACTGGAAGAGATTACAATTATCAAGCCTTGGTGTTATAAAAGCAGATGGAGCTACAGAAGACAATAGTTAAGTGAATCCTGTATAATTTCACAACTCCTAACTGCACAGAAGTCAATAATAATTATTTAAGTGTCTAATAACCTGTCTTGTTTTTCTTATTCTGATATGAATAGTATTCTATTCTTTGCCATTCAGTGAGTGCTTTTTTTGGCATTACATAACTGAAAATGATCAACAAATTACCTTGAAAGCATCATCATTTTGAGTTTGGTTATAGTAAATCCAGTTTTGTTTATTATTTCAATTATTTCTCCAGCCTTTGATACTGCATCTGGTTTAATCAGGGCTAATGTTCTGTAAAGAAATAAAGAATAGGTTTGAAATAAAAACAGTTCTGCAGTTTGTATTTATAATTCCTTAACACTAGTAGTTTCCTTAACAATCACCCCAGATCATCATCAAAATTAAGTATATAGAAAAGTGTATCACAGATTTCTCTTTAAAATATATACAAAGTAAGATTACTATTTTCCTCAAAGAAATCAAAATTAGGCAATCAATTTTTTAAGGGAAGAAGAAAACAGGTTAGGGAAAAACATGAAAGTTGTTATTTTAAATATACTCAACTTAGAAAACACAGTTTAAATTTCTATTTCTTATGTATCTTACATAAATTGCTAATCTAAAAAAGTTATAATAAATATATTAGAAGATTGGGTTTTTCTCTCTAATATTTAAACATATATATGTATGCATTAATCTCAGTACTGACTTGGAAATAAATAAAAATTCCAAATTGATATGACTCTTCATATCAACATCCTCTCACCCAACAGTATATATGAATAGTGAAAAATACACTAACTTTTACAATCAAATCATACTTTCCTCCAACATCAGAGCAATGCATTCTCCCTCTGTGAAGTCTCTGAATAAACAGAAGTTTGGACTTGGACGTTACCCCCCAATTGTCCTCATTTTATTGTTGAAGAAAGTAGGCTACAGAGATAATGTTCAAAGGTCACACAACTGATCAGCATCATCTTCAGAATAAAACACAATCCCATGACCTGTGTTCCACATTACAAATAATGTTACTATTATTAAAAAGATATACCTTCACCAAATCTGCAAGAATAATATTTGCAAATGTGAGATAAAAGTCCGATTAGTTGGAATAATTCAATTTATACAATAAGGAACTGCTTGCCACTTTCCTTTTCTGTATTTTTAAAATTCTGACAACAACAGCATTAATTCAAGAAATCATAAAAGAACAGAAGGCCTTTTGATATTTAGCTTTTTCCACCAATAAGATAAGTAAATCTGAGGATGTAGTAACTTGAATATCCTCACTTACAATTGGAAATAACTTATGGTTGAGTTCTAAAAGTGTAAATAACAAAAGAAATTGTTCATCATAAGTCTTCTTAAGACTATACAGGATAAACTTCTTCTTGGTTTGAAGCAGATAGTCAGTTTGAGTACTTTATTATACGGCTTTGTAGAAAATACAGTTAATTCTTTGCTTTTTGGTGTGCATTATTTAAATATTATAATATTATTTAAATATTATAAGTCAAACTAACTTATAAAATGTTTTGGCTAAACTCTAGGAGAGTATTTCACAAATCCTAACTTTTTCTTAAGATCTATTTAAGAAGCAACCATTTATTACAACCAATACAAGAGTGTGAAAAGAGGAAAGAGGAGAGTGGAAGAGGGGAGAGAATGAGGTCTGAATCAGATGTCAGTTGTGCTTGTTTTGTGTGTGTGTGTGTGTGTGTGTGTGTGTGTGTGTGTGTGTTACTGGGATTTAAACTCAAGGCCTCTTGCTTGCTAGACAGGTACTCTATCACTTAAGCCACTCCCCCAACCCTCTGTTGTGTAAACACATAAATGCCTACTTTTAAATATTTACATTTAAAAGATTAATATATATACATAGGTACATTCAGATGTGTTTATGTTTATCTAGATATCCTTATCCCTTAAAATATCAAAAGCAGGAACGTTTGCCTAAAATAAAGCCAAGAAACACAACCAATGCTCCTTCATAACCAAAAAGTTCATAGAAAATTGAATGCCATATTTATTCAGTTATCTGGCTACAAAGTGTGACTTGTTTTGCTACAATGCTGTAAGAAACTCAATCTCTTAAGTCTCTTAGATTCCCATCCTGTGGGAAGTGGTGGGAAGGCCAGCAGGCCATGGGCAAATTGACTCCTGGCTACTTGGCAGAATGTGAGACTCCTTTCCATCTTTTAGGACTACACAGAACCATCCAGTACCACCAGTGTTGATGAACAGTGAGAGCTTGTCCACAAAAGACAAAGAACTTGAATGTGATTACAAGGAGTCGGCACCTTGGGCTTTTCTTCGGTTACCAATCCAGGGCCAGGGAGGGGAACATAGAAAGAGTCCCACTGGGGAAAGGAGCTGACTGAGTCCCTAACAGAAGATGGAGAGAGTAAGGATTTTGAGCTCCTACCTGGGCAAGTAAATGCCCAAGGTTTTCTCAAGATCAACTTCAGACTATGAACACTGAGAAAGAGATGACTGGACTAAATACAATGAATTGGATGAAGCCTTAAGGATCAATGCCCAAATCTGAGTGTTATACCTATTTCAGAAAAAAAAAATCCAATGTAGCTCATTTTGGTGGGGATTGAGAATGTGGTCATGTTTATTGAATCATCTGATTTCTATGAGGAGGCAAAGGTTTAGATCACAAAGAGTTGCAATGACCTAGCTGTCCTGTGATCATTTGGGGAATGAAAAGTAACAATATAAATCAAAATCACTAGGGTTACTCTGCTCCTGAGACAGTCTGAGTTTGTTCCACATACATGAGGAATAGGATCTTAATTCCCAACATTCAGAGAAAGATAATCAGTAGCAGCCCTGCTTCATGGTTCCCTAATCCAGTGCTGCTGGGCTTGAAATAGATATAAACATAGCCATCATCGATTTCTTTTAATAGGCAGCAACATGAAAAGTCTAAAACTGAGATGGGGATGTAGCTCAGTGGTAGGACAATTGCCTAACATGTGAAAGGCTCTATGCTCAATCCTTATCACTAAAAAAAATGTAAAAACTGACAGTATTTAATTTAAATAATAATCTCATTCTCTCTTTCCTCTCTTTTCTCTCTCCCTCTCCCTCTCCCTCTCCCTCTCCTCTCCCTCTCTGTTCAGGGTCTCATTATGTAGCCCAGTCTGACCTAAAACTTGCTACTTGCTATCAACCCCAGGTTGGTCTCAAACCCAGGATCATCCTGCATCATCAAACTGTGTGCTAGGATCACAAGTATGGACCAACACAACCTACTTTCATTTTCTCTTACATGCCTACAGAAGAAAATGATTATAGGAGATTATGTAATTAATTGCTCGAAATACATTCCCTGTCTTGTTTTTATTTCTTCATCATTCTGCAGGTAATAATTTAAATGATTTTTTGAGGGGAAATAAGATAAGCATTAAAATCACATGTGTTATTTAGGGCTGGTGAAGTGGCTCAAGTGTTAGAGTACCTGCCTATCAACTGTGAGGCCCTAAGCTCAAACATTAGTACTGCCATGCACACAAAAAAAATCACATGTGTTATTTAAAAGTGAAGGAACACACAAAGAAACAAGAAGGCCACAAAAATAGTGCCTCTGTTACTACATAATATGTAATGGCTTTAAACAACAAACAATTGCTCAAGGTTCTGTAGATTAGATGATTAGTGATTTCACCTAAGATCATTTTTAAGCAGCTTTAAGCTAGCAGGTCAGCTGTGGACAGCCCTCAGCTAAGACCTAGGCTTCTCTTTCCTATGTTCTTTCATCCTGAAAGAGGCTAGTCCAGGTTTCTTCATATGCCACATAGAAATGAACATACAAGTACTTATCAAGGGTCCCCCTGAGTCCCCAAAGGGACTGATGTCCCTTTGGCCAATGCAAATCAAATGATCAAGCCCAGGGTCATTGTGAGAGAATTGGACCAAGGACATTGACACCAAGAGGTGTGACTCACTGAGAGCCATCAGTATAACAAACTACCACACAGTCACCCTCTTGCCTGCCTGCAAGATGCTGCATGATATACTCTTAAAGAAAACAAAAAATTATGAAAATCATTATTTTATATTATAATTTCTTAGCAACAGACAGTGAGAAAAGCTTGGCCAACCTTCACAAACTCGGACAGGATACAGATTTCTGGAAAATAACAATTCTCACAGAGCCATGTAAAAACATGTCCTTCATATACCATCAGGCTCTGAGCAAAATTTGCAGCAAATGTCTGTAAGAACAATAATGACTTGACTGCTGTACCGCAAACATCATAGATAGTATATAGTGCTAATGCTGTAACATCTTAGTACGATGGACTCTTAGATTGCTGTAGACTTAAAGGAATAACTATGCAAACATTAACCTATGCTAATTTACATAAATATTCCAAATGTATTCATATTTGCCTTAGGTCTACAAAAATCCATTCTAAACAGCAAATGAAGTCAAACTTACGGTTTCTTTTGTACTTTCTTTGCAAGCATAACATATGTGCCTGCCCCACGGATAAAAGAAATCAGTCTTATATGAAGTAATGTGTGTTCTGGAAGAAAATGCACTGACCTAAACTTTTTGTTTTTATTTTGTTTATGCTTACTAGGCAGGCAACTTTACCACTAGGACCATTACGTTATTCCAAGCTAAAGTTTTTGACTGGCAACAATCCTTCCACTGAAGACTAAACAAAGTGGATTTTTAAGAGAAATATTTTGTTGTTGTATGGGGGTTTTTTGTTTGCTTGATTTTGAGATAGCATCTTGTTACATAGCCAAGGCCAGTCTTGAACTCAAGATCCTCCTGTCTCGGCTTCCTGAGTGATGGGATTACAGGTATGAATCACCACACCTGGCTCCTTTAAAATCTTTTCTTAAAAGCAAAGATGAACTGATTAGACAGTAAATAATTATTAGGACAAAAGTTTAAAGAAAACATGGGGACTCAGAAAAGTGAGACTCAATGTTGCTTCTGACTTGTCAGCATTGCCTCTCAAGCAAATTTGAATTTTAATCTGTACTATGTCACTAGGAGAGGGGACTAGAACCCAATAGATTATCATCCCTAAAATAATTTGAAAGTGAAATCTATAACTCTAGGGTGAACCAGAAATCATACATTCACATCACATAGGTAGTTTTGGAGCTTAAAATTTTTTAGCACGGACAATGCTGAAATGAATTTCTAATGTCTCCAGAAAATAGACAAAAGCACACACAATTCCTCCCTTGGAGCAAAGTAACTTCATTCTGTACTTCAAAAAACTCTTACATAAAGATACAGCACACATATACCA